GGGGGTGACGGACGGAGAAGGGCCGCTTGAGAAAAACGATTGATTCGGTAGGGCATAAAGGTCGCTTTCTTTGTGAACGGAGACTACTACGCAAAGAGGTTAGGGTTTTTCTCGTCCGGTAAACACCGGGAGCTAGATGCTGAATCACACCGAGGTTGGTAGGCGTGTTGTATACAGAGCAGACGACGCTGCAGTATGTGTCATTGATCTCTGAAACCGCTATTCGGCCACGGGCCCAAAGGCCGCATACAGCAACGCATAACAGGGGCGTCACTCAACTCTACTGCTTGTCTATGACAGAATTGTAGGAAAATCCACGAAATTCGTGGTATGCCATGTCAGTAGAAAGCATTGGTTTTGGTGTCATAGTTTGTTTTTTAATGTGTCAGTTACTATAGTCCCTTGAAGCTTATTGCTGGTACTATTCTTATATTATACTGCATCCCTCCTGTTGAAACACATTCCTTAGTTCGGCTATTAATCAACAGGATAACACCCATACCTCAAGACCAGCCTCCAAAGAATGTGTTGGACTGCAACCAGCTAAACTGAAGTAAACATTTTGTCCCGAAGAGTTAACAATGAATGTGCGAGGATTGTGCTGGTTTTGGTGCTGGTGGAGCTGTTGGTGGTGCGGGACCGGATTCGTTTTACTCTCCTCCTCTGCAGCGGTAGCTGGTTCTGCAAGGCAGTTAGAGCCGGGGATAGGACTTGTCTACCACTTGACGTCCACTCTCCTACTCAGTGAACCTAGCCTATCAGGCCCAGCGAAAGATGTTGGGTATCAAATCACAGCCGATGTTACCATAGGCACAGTATGGGCTAGTGGGACGGATCTTAACAACAAACTAATACAAATTGAAGTAAGTATCAAAATGCAAGACAATTATGACTTTTGTTCTTCTTTGTTCCCAAACAAACATTATTTTTTTCAGATTGCAAATCCTCAGCTTCATATAAAATCAAGAAAAGCACCTGCCCCTGAGGGTTTTGTTGCACACTCTTCAGAGTTAGAAAACCTGAAAAATGGCCCGTACTTTGTTCATTGGCATAACGGTAGGATCGTGAATATGTACTTGGCGAAAGATGAGATAACATCAATTGGCAATCTCAAAAAAGGCATTGCTAGTTTGCTACAGGTAAGTTTTTGAGACACATTCTACTTAAAATACATGCTGATAACAATGACCTCAAAGTTACAAATTTGATTTTTTTCTTGCAGTACCAACTATTAGACTTAGAAACCAATGAAACCGATTCCTCTGGAGCATGCTTTGTATCATATAAAAGTATTGATCCAACAACTATATTGAAAACTAAAACAGATTGTAAATCTACAGAGGGCACACCATACTCTCAACACACTGATAAGGTATAAAATATAACTATTATCTTCAGATACTATAATTGAGTTAACAAATCATTTTTTCTTGGACTTCTGTATTTCTGTAGGTTCTTGGTTCCACTGTTACCTCTAAACGAGAAACTCGGATTGTTCTCACGCAAGATATGTCTGCCTTGCAATCAGTTGAAACAGACGAGACACATGTTATGACAGTAAATGTTCGACCTGAAGCAGCAAGCCAGGTTCATGCTACTCAGGAATTATCTCTCACAGGTATAGAGTTCATACTAAATTTGTGAAAGCTCTTTTGAGCTCCTGTAAGTCTATCCTCATCTTTGTTTTTAGAAAATACTGTGAAGGTTGTGCCTTTAAAGGCTGAAGATGTGCAATCAGCTGTCAGAATGGTAGAAAAGAATTCAGGCCAGTTCTTTGTCCAACAAAGTCTGATATTAGAAAGGGAATCTTTGGTGTGTTCCGACACTACTTGTCCCACTGTAAGAGTATTTCTCATGGTCTTTTGGACGTATGTGTGCTACATGATTATTTCATTGCATTTTCTGACATTGCTTTCATTTATAGCTTCCAAAAATGGTAAAAGAAAACCGAGAAGCCCTGGATGAAAAATACTTGGGTACAATTAAATCAGCCTCTGCTCTTGTCCGCCTGCTTCCAATCGCAAGAGAAGCCACTTATGAAGAATTCAGTAAAGTTTTGAAGAGTGCTGGCAACCAAGACATAATGTAAACTATGCTTTGCTTGTTTATCAAATATCCAATATTTTACTATCATTCATCTATCTATATATCTATTTTCGTATGTATGTTCTTACTTTTCAGACTTGCACTCTGTGATTTAGCTGGTGCAACACAAACCCTTCCTGCCCACGAAGCATTTAAGAAAGCCATATTCCTAGATGGTAAAGGGAGTTTGGATGCAGCAGAACGTTATCTGTGGGCCTTAAGTGCTGGAGCTCAGCCTAAGTCAGAGATACTGATGGGTATGCCATCCTCTTATTTTTTTTAAAACTATGAATCCGTATATCCTGTTGCCCTTAAACCAATGACAGTGTGCTTTTCCCATTTAAGACATTTTACAATTAAGTGAGAAATCCTATGAAGAGGAAAAATTGTCGGAGACCCTCCTATTGTCTGTTGGAGCAGTAGCTCAACATTATATGCGACTCCCTCACAGTAATCCAAAGGTAAACCCCACTTAAAAATATTTTGTTGATGTCAAAATTTTTAACTTTTGTCTAAAGCCTTATTATTTTAGCTTGGCAGGGAAGTTGTCAAGTCTCTGAGTGCTGGACTTACCAAATGTGATACTTCTGATGAAATATGTCAGCTTCGGTACCTACGAGCTTTCCGAAATCTGGTTTCTCCAGATAGTGTGTCTCTTTTGTTAACCCATGCTGTAAATGGAACTCGTAAAACAACTGTGGCAGCAATGAAAGCCCTAGTCGAACTTCCCAAAAAAGCTTGGGATAGAAAGGTAATTTTAAATTCACACTTTGTTGTACGTTTTATACTTAATTTAATTTATTTCATATTGTATCTGATTCTGTGTGGTTGTTTTTTTTTTTTTAGGTTATTCAGGCCTGTGAGACAATTTTCCTTCAAATAGGTCGTCGCTATGACAGTAGTGCAAGAACATTGGCACTGGACATTATTTTAGAGGGAGAACCATCCACAAACCAGCTTGAAGAAATTGTTTTATATCTCACAAAACCAGATCCAGCTTATGAAGTAAAACAATATCTGCTTCAAAGATTACGTCAGATATCAAGCAAGTTAGTGTCAATTTCTTTCTCAATTTTTAGCAAGTAACGGTTAACTTTACTTAACTTTGTAGTGAAATTTTGTATTGGGTAGTTTTTTAAAATACTGCGTTTCCCATTTTGCAGGAGAAAAGACTTTGAAGCAAATATCAGAAGAATTTTTGCAAGAGAGGGATCGAAACTGTACAATTACCATGCTTTGGGACAAAGAGGTCTAACAACTGCCTTTACACGTTCATTCTTGAATAGCCCTAGTGCCAATGGAAGCTTGATTTCTATTCAAGAAATATCAGGGGGTTTACTGAAAAGAGGGATTGTTGATGTATCTGTTGAAAGTGTAGGAGAAAGTAGTAGTATTTTTACAGTAAGTATCCAATATACCCCTCTTTTCAAACTTGTAGGCTCTCATTTGTGGCTATTATCTACCTTCATTTGTGGCTATTATCTACCTTCATATTTTCAGCTTGGCCTGTTTGCTGGAGGATTGTCATCCTTTGTCTCTTCAGATAGTGAATCTGCTGGTGGATCATCCTCTGAAGCCAGTGAAGATGCAACTGCTGGCATGGAGATATCTCTGTTGGGGGCTCAAATTCGCCCTTTTGTGTTCTTTACTGGACAAGGAGAACTAATGGGTCATGTGTGGTCAGGAACTGCATCAACACGCACCCCAGCTTTCCAAGCCTTGTCATTGCTCCATGACCATAGAGAACTTCTTCCCCTCCAAACAGGCTTCATAGCAGACATCACACTTTTAGGAGGCATGTCATTTGAGTTAGCTGGTGAAGTACAAATCAGTCTTTGGAATAGAAACGCCCATTCTCTGGTAGAGAAAAAGTATGTGTTTAAACTGTGTTTAAAATTTGTTCAAAATTGAGTATAGTATAGTATGAATGAATTCTATTAATAATATCATTTTTTGTAGTGCTGGTCTCTCTCTCACTGGATTAACTCGAGTTGATTCTACATTTGTGAGAAGCCAAGTAGAATTTAATCTGGCCACGGAACCACGACTAAACCTCGTCTCCAATCTTGATTTCTACAGTGGTATGGCTTTATGCATGCAGTTAAAGCAGCCAGACACAATTCTCAAGTATGTATGGGGTTTCTCATTTGATTCTTATTTATTTATTTTTGCATTTCATTAAACTAAAATTTATTGACACCTGCTATTCTACTTTCCTAGGCATAATGTGTATAAGGTAGAAAGAATTCCTGGAAGTAAACATAGATTACGAAAATCAAAGTACCAAGTTTTCCGCATCCCTGGCAGGACATACGCCCTGAACCACAAGAATAATGAAATGTGTAATGTTATTTTCAAGGACCAATAAGAAAATGTTGAGATTGTTATTTTATACTTATTGCTATATTCTTAGCAAGCTGTAAACGCAAATTTATGTCCCTTATAGGGGTGTCAGTAATAACTGGATTTATTGCTGTCGGTTGTACATGGTTTTGTGTGCACCAATTTTGCGCACCATTTTTCTTTACAATTTTTACCCCCTATACAGGGTATTGATGTTTTATTGAATCATGATCTAGCATGTAATGCAATACAATGCCTTTATGAGAATTGCATATTAATGAAGACTGAATACATGTAAAGTTGGCTATTCAACTGATGTTTTATAATACTTAGAGATCTGTTATTTATCTTACAATTTGCTTTTAGCAAGCAAATTTTCTTTTCTCCCTTTGATTTTATACAATGTTAGCTCAAACTCTTAAATATTTTAGAATAATTTTGACCAAAACTTCTGCAATGCAGAATTTGGGATCAGCCATTTTACTGCAAAAAATGTAGGCACGGCTGTAATAGCCATTTTTCTAGATTGTTCACAAAAGGATTGTTCTATGAAATTAAATAACTCATGGCTGTGTTTGTAAGTGCAACACTCAACATTGTTGTTGTACGATTACTCTCCCGTAGAGTACACTATGATTTCAATTCTGTTGGCAAATGAAGTGTTTCTTGTACTTTTTAGATTAACTTTTGCCATATCAGTTGATATTGTGATTAACCCTCCAACTCTAGCAGAATTCCCTTCTTGTTGAAGGGATGTGATAATGTCTATCCACGGAACATTCCAGTAATATTCCATGCATTGGGAATCGGATATTTTTAGTATACAATGGGGTCTTTTTCCATTGTTCTTGCAGGAACCGTAATTTATTCTTTGCATAATGAATTGTCTACAACTTGATGTGATATGAATAAATGTCAGACTGTAATATGCTATAATTAGTTAAGCCTCCCTTTGGGAGGCATATTGCACCTGTCTCAATGCTGTTTAAAATATAAATAGCAAAGTTATTACTTTGTAAGCTTCAAGTTGTATTTTTGTAGGTTGTGATCACCATGTTGACTTTGAATTTGTGCATTATACATTGAAATGTATTGTGCTACAATTTTGTGTTTTCTTAACTAGAGCTTGTACTTTTACAGGTAAGATTTTTATTTATGATTGTTACAGTGATGATGTAAACCACTGAACTGAAACAAAAGTGCATGTAAATATGCTAGTCCTTGTAAGTAATGTCATGTATTTCAGGTCCTGCTGTTAATAAGCATACCTGCTTGCCCTACATGCAACATGCAAAAAAATGTTTTTCTGTCCAATCAATGAATAACATAATTTAATTATGGCCATGAAAAAAGGTCTTCAGTTGTATGACTTTGCATTTGAAACTGCAGCAACTTGATAAATTTGTTCTACATAAATTCTCAAACTCTTCCACAAATCCGTTTTTTTTTTAATTTGTTACCTTTTGCGCCAGATATTATGATGGGATTTGCTTAAGCATGTCTTTAAAATCGGAAATCGATATTGATTCATATAGGGTCTACTGTTGAAATAAATCAATTCCTACAAATATACACCTCATATCATTTATTTTATTTTGATACATCCTTCCCCTTATAAAGGTAATCGTGGATCAAAATTATTTACACAAATTCCTTCTTCCAAAACAGAAAACTTGCATGAATCAAAACGATCGTGAGTCAGTAAAAACTGGCTGACCGGTCGGTAAGACAATCCAGATTTAGAATTATTAATGATTAATGACACGAGGAAACACAACGGCTTGGTTGGGCGGTAATGGGTTAGAAACAGCCAAAAAGTAGCAAGATAGAGCGTTACAGCAGAGAAATGTAGAGGCCGAGCGAGGCCGAGGTCAAGAGGCGTACAATTTCCCGTTTCTTTTAAATTCTGCCGCCAGTAATAGGTGGCAGCACATGACATACACAGCCTTGTTCTTCCCCTCCCCACAGACTTTATACCTGGCCAATCAACTGGCACGTACGTGGTGGAACCCGACTGCAACAAAAACATCAGCGAACTTACCGAACTGACGACTGTGACTACTCGAATGGTGCCAAGTATATGTTTCTTTTTCCATCAAAATGAGGGCGGCTAGCATAACATTCATTAGTCTAGCATTAACGACAGCCGTCGTCGGAAATGCATTCTACAACAAGAAACAGTTTTACCCGTCGGTGGTATATATCACTAAATCTAATCCCAGTATGGCGGTAAGTGAGGAAGTAACCTTATTACTTGTCATCTGCTTCATGTCATAAACATTCTGTTTAGTCAACTATTTTAATTATGATTTTTATGTTTCTACAAAAAACACGCCAATCCTTTCCAATTCTCAGTCCATTTGCTCCTTAAGTTCACTTCCATATTTATATAAATTGATCTGCAATAACCTTCAAATTATCATCTAAATCTCTCATGAGAAATGTCATTCACTATCTTCCAACCATTAACAATAAGTGTTTAGCTTTGAGAAAGAGGTCTATGTGCAGTTTAACCCATTAGAAATTGGACCAATAAGCCCACTCTCTGAACAACAAAAAACTAACTTTTTTTTCTGTCTGTAATTAATTTTTACTCTTGACTTTTTCTGATTATGTCTTTGATAAAAATAGCATTCCTTGTCTTGTTTTTCAGGTGATATACATACAAGCTCTTGTGGTTGTAGTTCTTATTGGCAAGCTCATGCAGAAAGTATTCTTTGGTCAACTGAGAGCAGCTGAATTTGAGGTAAGATTACTTACATCCAATCTTTTTTTGTTTTAATTATACTCTATGTACTAAGTGCAAACAAAAAAAAATCGTAGTATCAAAAAATAAAACCTTCTTTTTTGTGTTCTTCCTTAGCATTTAGCTGATCGCTCATGGTATGCTGTGACAGAAACATGTCTGGCCTTTACTCTTTTCCGAGACGACTTTGCCCCAAGATTTGTAGCTCAATTTATTTTACTGCTCTTTCTGAAAGCATTCCATTGGCTTGCGGAGGACCGTGTTGATTTTGTAAGTATAGTGTGGAAAATACTACGTATGCAGATAATTCTGTCTTCTGTGTGACATCTTGTTAAACCATTTTTTTCTCCCTTCCTCCTTTTTAGATGGAGAGAAGTCCTATCATATCATGGTTATTCCATTTGAGGGTCATCTGTAAGTGTTGAACAGAAACTTTTCTCTAATTGTGATACTTTTTTTTGTATTTTTCTCTAATCATCCTCAATTTTCCTGCAGCATTAATGTTTGTCCTTAGTCTCCTTGATTTATACTTTGTGAATCATGCATATCTCTCAACGGTCTCGGGAGGGGCTAGTGCTCAGATAGTGTTTGGTTTTGAGTACATGATTCTTCTTATGATAGTGCTAAATATAGCAATAAAATATGTTCTACACACTATTGACCTTAATTCTGACAACCCATGGGACAACAAGGCTGTTTTCCTGTTGTATACAGAAGTTGTAATGGGTAAGAATATCTAAGTGATCAGAAGTCCCAAACATTGCTCTTAGTTTATCAGTAAAACTTCATTGTTTTTGTTCTTAATGAAACAAAATCTTCTTACAGGAATGTTTAAGGTTGTACTTTATGTCACATTCCTTATAATAATGGTGCGCATTTTTACATTGCCCTTGTTCTTATTCAGACCAATGTATTATACTTTGAGGTAAGTTTAGGTAAAGGGATCTGTTATCAGAAAACTAGCAATAGCTTCAAACAAATAAATACATCAAACTATCCTTCCTTTTTAAAAATTTAATTAATTTCAACTAAATTTAGGTACTCTATTTTGTTAATTTTTTAAATCTGATTGTAGGTCCTTCAGAAAGGCAATAAATGATGTAATTTTGTCGCGTAGAGCTATACGCAACATGAATACTCTTTATCCTGATGCAACTCCAGAAGAGCTGTCTGCTGCTGATAATGTGTGCATCATATGTAGAGAGGAAATGCATTCAGGTGTGCCTTGATACTTTGCTAAGATTTACTTCAGGATTTTTTAGTTGGTTTTGGTTCTAACCCTTTATACTTTCAGCTTCCAAGAAACTACCTTGCAACCATATATTTCACACATCCTGCCTTCGTTCTTGGTTCCAACGGCAACAAACATGTCCAACATGTCGTCTCAATATCTTGCGCATACCAGGTGACAGAAACACTGGTGCTAATCAAGCAGCAAATGCAGAGGCTCAAGCACAACATGCTCCTGACGTCCCTCCTGTTCCACACCCAGGTATTGTGTTCTATGTTTTCTGAGGTTTTTATCAATCAGTCTCTATGTAAGTCTTGATTCTTATTAAAATTTTTGTATGTTTCTGTTTGTAGGTCTTCCAAACCCATTTATGAATGGCGTTTTCCCAGGCATGTTTCCATTTTGGCAGCAACAGTTTAATCAACCTCCAGCTGGTCAACCTGGTCAGCCAGGCCAACCCAATTCAGGTGGCCAGCAACCCCCTACTGGGGCAACTGGAGCCGCTACCGGCACTGTTCCCGGGGCACAGCCAGGTACCTTTTGTTATTTTTAAAAATACAGCATAAGTAAACTTTACCTGAACAGTTAATGGAAAAAGTTCTTCACTGTGTTAATAATGGTTTCAATTTCCAGGCCCTATTGTGATGCCTGTTCCACCATTTCCACCTATGCCTCCAGGCTTTGGATTGCCATTCTTTTGCCCTCCTTTTCCTCCGGCACCACCTCCATTTGGTGAGGAGAGGAACCACATTGACTTTTTCATCCCTACTTGAACCTGCTTAACAATTTTTCCAAAATTTCAGCTGTGCCACCACCCATGCCACCACCAGGCTTGGCAACTTTAAGTGAAGAGGAGTTGCGCAGACTAGAGAGTGCCGCTCGAGACGGAGTAGCAGCTCGTCTGCAGTGCTTGCAGAACATTCAGCAATTACTGGATGCAGCTGTTTTGCTAATGCAGCAGTACTCCAATGCAGCTGCGGCTGCTTCTGCTGCAACTGTAACACCAGTACCATCATCACCACCTTCTAGTTCATCCGCCGCACCCCCAGACTCAGGAGTGGCTACCACATCCACCACTGTTAATTCTGCTTCACCAGTGGTGACCTCAAATGCAACTCAAAATAGGTAAGTACTACTCAATTGATTTTGTATTCAAAGATTTAAATGTAAAAATGTTTGACTATATTGTTGGGTTTTTATTTTCTAAGCCAGTTCTTTATTTTGTTGTAGTGCTCGTTCTGAAGATAGACCCACCAGCGTTTCTCCCTCTTCTGAAACTCCAAGCAGCAGTAGATCAAAGGAGGATACAGGAAATTCGTCTGACCTGACAACCTCAGTAAGGTTAGTAATGGCAAAAGATTGGATTTTAATCACTGCTGTTGTGAAGTAATTATCAAAATTAATTTCTGGTTATACAGGTCTGATGGTTCAGGTAGCTCTTCCTCTAGCATTAACCAAACAGTCACTTCAGCACTATCACCTGAGCAAGATGAAATTAGAAGGCGACGGCTACAGAAATTCACCGGAATCCCAGAGCCAATGGACTGATTAATATATAAATTACAATCAATGAATGAAGTACTTTTAAAATTTTGTGTATCAGACACCATTTTGCAGGTCTGACTAAACATTTCTTATTATTAACTAGCTGTAGGAGGTCAAACTCCTATACCTTGACAGGTCTCAAAGGTACCTACTGGGTATTGATTGAATCATATGAAAATCCACATTCATATTTTAATTTTAACTCCTCTAGACACAATTAAGGACTACTATCAAAATTTTGACGGGAAAATTATTGTCCCACTAATTTGTTTACTTGGCCTCATTGGATCCCAAATCTGCTTTTAATGATCTAATCTCTGTCTGTATAAATAGAACTCATAATTTCAGATGGTTATATCTTGTTGTGTTTAATTCAAATTAGTTTGAAATCTTGATCTAAGGTGGCAGAACTGGCTTGACCATCTTAGTTATGTTTGTGTGTTTCACTATTCGTTACTTTTCTGTAATATACTCTTTCAATACTTGGAAAGGTTCAGGGGCCAAGTATACGTGCTCCTCAAAGGGGGAAACAAGGCGTAAACTGTCATGGGTTTCCTTTAATCTCTCCAGAGATTAGCTTCAGCTTCTTACCTGCAGAATAGAATATATATTTATATATCTATTTATCTAATTGAACAATCACAAGTATCCTAATTTTTGAAACCAAACCGTGTTCTGCCATCTATCTTTTTTCAGTTCTTTGGTTGTGCTTTATGTTGAAAATGCTACTGGGAACTTACTTCTTATTTTGGTGAGACTGCTATTTGAACTGTGGTGTGTTCCTGCCAAAGCGAGTAGAATGTTTGTGAGCTCTATAAGTCTGTCTTGTGTAGTTTTATTTTACAGTAAAATGTTGTGTTAATAAAGTGATTTATGTATTGTATATAGGTGTTGTGTGAATGTTCATGCACAAAATTTAAGTATGGCCCTTACATTGTTGGCTGGGATGAGAGGTGTAATTCAGTCCAATTATTTGTCTATTCGCCAAGAAGCAAAGCATTCAGTGCTACAAGAGAATGTTTACTATTAAGGATATGTACTTGATAAAGTCTTTGTGGAAGGAACAGTTGAATTGATAATTGATTCTAAGTTTAATTTGTTTTATTGTGAAGTATATGTTTATTATTTGTTGTTTGTACTTGGTTTTGTTTTATGCAAAGCATGTACTGTTGTCATAAGCCGAATGGAATTATTTACGCAAGTTTAGCATGTGGAAATCTAATGTGACCATCTAATTCACCAAAGTATTATCAAATCACAATTTATTTCTTTTCTGTTAAATATTCATGGTTTGCATGGTCTTCAAAGAAAGCATTATCCGCATTTTATTTACCATGATTGCTCCTGTTCCAGGGTCACATACAGGTTAGATTTTTTGATGCATGCTGATACATTTTATAAAAATTATTAGTCAAATTTTAATTATTAGTTTTTGTTCTAAATTTTTTGTTATAAGTTATCTTTGGTAATATATATATATTTTCCTTCCTAGTTACTGAAAAGTGGAAACTTACTGCTCCTGTCTGTTTTTGATTTGTTGGCAGACAAAATTCTGGAATACTTTTTCATAATTCTTTACCATTATGTTTGAAACCCAAATTCTTGAAATACGTAGTTGCTTTTACATTTTAATCAAAGAAAATACTAAATGTAGTCCAGTGATTATTCCTCCCAGTTTAATTTACAGACGATGCAGTGCTAATACTGGTTCTGGTAGGAGCTGAAATTTTTCAAAGTTATTGACCCCAATCCAGACTGAAAAGCACTGATATAGGTACTGTATTTGGTAGGTGGGGGGAGAATCAAAATTTAAACTTTATAGATTCAGTCCAGGTGAACTCAGTTTAAAAAAAGGAAGTGCAAACTTATATGAACTGGAAATCCTTTAGTAGTCTCATCATTCCAGATTTAATGTAATGTGTATCAGTTTCTTGTTTTGTTTTGTTGTTTGTTTGGAAGAATTAATGTTGTGGGCCGAAACGCTTCAGGGTGTAAATGATACAACAAATGTTGTTGAACTACTTTATCCCAAGCTATGGCTACAAATGTGCTCCTCTTGAACTGCTTTTTGGTTTGGTGTTTGGTTCCGAATTTTAATTTACAGAATTAGCCTTTGTATTCACCATTCGGATCTGTTTTGAGCTTTGTTGCATACTTCATTTTGTCATGTTTGTGTGAAATATTCTTGTCTTGTGTATAGTATTTAATTTAGAATCATGCTAGCTTCCATCGCTGGAAGATGTGATACATGTTAAAGTTGGGCATTCAGATAAATGTGAAAAAAATAAAAAATAAAATCATAAGAACTGCATTGGTAACTAAACTAGTAGTTTTTTGTTTTCCATATTACCCTGGACAAGGACTTGAAAAGTCTCATAGAACACATTAGAACACATTAGTCCCAAATTCCGAAAGCATGTCTTGGTGCGTCATCTACAGCCGAGATGCGCATGTCGCTGGTAGCGGACCTACAGAGCGGGAAAAAAGTTCCGCGGCTGGGATTCGATCCCAGGGCCGACGGTTTCCGAGCCAAACCCCAGCGGGCTTGCCACTCAGCTGTCGCCTGCTCCTGTGAAGGGAACGGTCAGAACTCGGTCCTGCTTTGAGGGCCTTGATTTGTCGTACTGCACGCGTTCAGGTCGGGTCAAGCCCACCTCCTCGACGCGCTGCAGCCCGGGTCGACTCCTGGCCAGAAACAAGGAAAATGGCCACTAAAAGAGCCCCTTGGGCGCGCGGGGGTTAGGTTAGGTCCATTTATGTTACTTGTTCCGTGTTTTTGGCCAGAATTCGACCCGGGCTGCAGCG